AGGTAAGTAAAGCTATCGAAGAGCCAAATGCCAATGGTACACTTGCCGAACACAACATGAGTGATTGTAATTATTTGATGTACAGTAAGTTCTTATGAAAAAAGTAAAATCACAAAAATACTGAACTCCGAGGAAAATTCAAAAAGGAAAGTCCCAAATCAAATGGCAAAATCAAAAGTTCAAACACATCAAACGAATGAATGAAACTTATGTGAATGAAAGATTTTGGGAAGTAGAAAATTCTTATCAATGTACCATACGTTAAAGACGCAGAAAATAAGGTGCATATTTTGTATGTCAGTCCAAGATAAACGATGAAAACTTGAGTACTTAGTATTTTTTGATGAATTTGAATGACACTTGTGTAGATGAAAGACATTGAGAGGGGAAAGACCTTATCACGGTAACAGATGCTTAAACAAACTGAGGTGTATTTTTTGTTTCCTGAATATAACTTGAGACACACATGTTGGATTTTAATAAGATTTCTGCAAGTGGCAAAAAGTTGGCATTAGATCAAAAATATTGATATTGAAGTCAATGGATCAAAGGTCAAGGTCAAAGTTACAAAAAATCAGACAGCTGTACATGTGAAATTCTTCAAAATCTTGGTTTCTGGCTTTTTACTTTTTCAGGAATATCTATATTGTGCATGTGCATCCTGCTCAATCATTTGTAAAGAGATGTGAAAAGGTATTACCGTAGTTAAAGGCTGCCGAGCGAGTAGTTTTTACAAATGACGACTATAAATAGGTTGATCTTGGATTTCAAATGAAAAGTCTTAATATTGAACTTTTTTCTTTTTTCTTATCTTATTTAAATTTCTTGCAGTACTTATTGGGTACCTGTACGTGTCACCAGACTTGTTTGGTTAGCCACTGTCAATATTTTAAAGGGGGTTCCAAAGAAGGTTTTTTTTAAAGGTCTGGAGAAAGTATCAATAATAATTTTGGTTTCAAGATTACTATAACATTTTTGAATTTTCATAAGAAATATTGGATATGTTGAGGACTGACCATCAATTAGCGTACCAGGTTGATCGTGCCAACTTCATACTTGTTGATTGATAGACATGATAACAACACGTATAGTTGAGGGGCAACCCGTTGTTTTCCTTCCAGTACATTTATACACTGTAATTTGATTTCAAAGAGATGTCATCCCTGATTTACGAGTTCATGACTAGATTTATTTTGCTAATAATAATCTTAAATTTTCTGGGCATGCTGTCCTACACTTATTGCTTATCGTTTGTTGCTGCATAACATATTTGTTTTTCGTTCATTATTTTGTACATAAACTAGGTCGTTAGTTTTCTCGTTTGAATTGTTTTACATTTGTCATTTTGGGGCCATTTTTAGCTGACTATGCGGTATGGGCTTTGTTCATTGTTGAAGACCGCGTACGTTGACCTATAGTTGTTAATTTCTGTGTCATTTGGTCTCTTGTGGAGAGTTGTCTCATTGGTAATCATACCACATCTTCTTATTTTTATATAATGGTATTTGTTTTTAATTTTTATTGATTTATTCGGTAATGATTGCATTGGCCTCAAAGCGAATGTAATGAAAGTTGTTTGTTAAAAAAATGTGTTTGACGTATTGTTTAGCTTGGAAAAAATATGTTGATACACTAAATACAAGACATCAATTTAGTTTTATGGCATTTTCCGTCATATACGAACATTGGAAGCATGTAGACATATCATTTGTAAAATCATACCACTTAGCTTGAACCAGTTCAAAGAAAGGTTTATACCTCGCAAACTATACTTGTCCGTCCTTGTATAGTTTATAGTTTCTTTAAGATATGCAGCAATGTCGATGATTGATTGATGTGTAGTTGCTTGATTTACGTCCAGTAACATATGCTCAAATGACCTGTAGTGTCAGCGTTTTATACATTGGTGTTATTCAGAACGAAATTATTGTAATATACAATCTTTGGCTTCCCAATCTATGAGATCTAATAAGTTTCCGATTGTTAGAATGTGCAACTATTGTTTTTTCCTTTTAATTAATTCATAAATCAGGGATGACGCATCTTTTCAAATCAAATCTGGAGCCGTTTTTGCTAATTATTATTCGCACCATCGACTCCTTCGTAAAAATTTCACAATTTTGTAAAGTTATTACATTAAGTATATCTGTCCTTAGTTCATTACTGTAAATAGCGGTTTCACAAAATTTCTGTTTGCCCTTTTTAATATATAAGTAGTATTTTTTTCTCCTCAAGCGATTGCTAATTTTATTCAAACGCGAGTTATTTGCTCCTTGTTTTTATCAGATTTTCTTTATGTGATGACCAGAGGACTGTTAGTTCCAGAGGATAGCACAAGTCCAGTTATCAGTGCTCCGATAAGTTTTTTAAAATTACCTATAATCTCTTTAAGCTAAGCTATCAACCTCTCATGTAATATTGCCTTAGATGCTTCCAAAGCTTTTGGTTAAAGTGTACCTGTTAAAAATACATGACTTTTCAGACACACGTGTCGTTTACTCTGAAATCGGAATCATGATATTTATATTCTGTACTTTTGCTTTCATTGCCGTCATAAGTTCTGGTTATTTACAAATGCTTTCTTTCATGAAGTTCAATGATTTGTCGGAAATTTCCTTTTGATAACTTCTTACTTAATTAAGGACAAGCTGCATTTTGATCACTTTTGTTAATCTCTTCTTTTGTTGTCTTATGTATTGATCCTTCAGTATAGTCTTGAGATGATGATGGTCAGAAAAGTCTAAGTTCTAGCGTTTTAAAATGTGAACAATTGTGTAGACTCCTTGTCTCATTGTATACAAAAACATAAATAGTACCAATTTTACTGTACCAGACGCGACTTTCGACAATCAATGTCTCCTCAATGATGCTCGAGGCATAAATATAAGAATGGCATATCACTTTCATGAAAGAGACCAAGATCGTCTCTTAAAAAGCTCTAAAAGGCATTGCATCTTAATTGCCTTTTCTAAATATATTTTTCAATCTATGTTATAGCGGAGATTTTGTCAGTTTCAGCTAACAACATGCAATTTTTGTCAAAAAGTCTATTGTTAAATTCATCATGGGATTTCCAATTATTTCTCGACTCGTGATCCGGGCTAGAATCATATGTTTTTGTTATATTTCATTTTAAATCAGCTGATGCATTATTTATGCTGTAGTTCTAAGTTATGATATTTCAGAATAAAAAAAAAATTCTCTGGGTTCCTGTGACGTAGGCAGATTTGTCGTTAGCTGCACTCATAATCTTAATCTTTTTATTATCCTAGATTAAATAATACCAAGGGCATTAAACTAAATTCACTTTAGTTCTTCTAGGTATATAAGTAGTGACTGATATTACTAGCTATGAAATCAACATTTGTTTTGACTTCTGTTTGTATAAAATATTTTCATGACTTGCGCTGGAGGTAAGATATATGCTGAGCTCATGAATTTAAAAAACATGATGAGCTCATCTTCATTTGTAAACAGTGGGAAAACATTTCCCCTAAAGTATTAGAACTCAATCAACCCTCATTTGTGCAGACTTTACTGTAACTGAAGTAAGCTTAATTTTAAGTTCAATAGGATTGGTGCGATTAATATATAGTCACTTTATTTGAATAATTCAGTTAAAGGACATCCTCTATATAGCACAGACGTTTTCACAAGGTATGAATTGCCTAAAACAAGATATTCGTTAGTTATTCTATTTCTAGTAATTATCATCAGTCTTAAATTCTAGAATTAGGAATACCTTTGGTAAGGGTAGAGACGACATACATCTTTTATTTTTGTTATTTTACTTAGTATTTTGAATTGCATCAGGAGAAAAACGAATATTGAGTGCACTCTACCGGATCTTAATGAGTTTGGGACAGGCACATATAGAATGTGGCGGGGTTAAACATGTATGAAGGCGCCAACCCTCCCCTAACCATGGACAGTGGTGTAACAGTACAACATAAGAACAAACTAGCAAAATCAGTTGAAAAGGGCTTAACTCATCAGATCGATACAAAGCAGAAAAAACATCTAACAAAAACACATACCGGACTTGACAGGGTATTTATACATCCCTAAAACCAAAAAACAAAAGACAAAAAGTACAGATCTGAAAGTATTCGCAGCTACTGACAACTAGTTCAAAGCCGATAACATCTAATATAAACATATCATGTATCTAAGACTAAAATATCAATCTGAATTTATTTTAAAAATATCTTATTGCATTTAGAGGACAGAGAGGGTTGCAAATACATATATTTTTCTACGTTTCGCAGTATAGCGGAAAAATACTGTCAAAATGTCGGAGCCGGCACAGCTCGATTCTTTGATAAAACAACGTGTGCAGGAAGCAGTAACAATGGCACACAATGATATTATACAACATATGGACAGAATAATTAAAAGTCGACGAATGAAAATCGACGATAGTTGTCCGAAACAGAGCTTACCAAGATTGAAGAGAAGAATTCAGACAATTACATTTTTAAGATAAAAGGGAACGAAGAGCAGTTCAAAGTTAATTACAAAGTAGCCAACGCTAGATGTTTTCTGAGAGAAGACACGGAGCAAACTGAACAGACACAAAGTATAAGTGAAGGCTTGGATATATTACGTAATAGATAAAAACTAGTTAAATTGGCAGATCAATCCGAAAATGGATGGAAAACGGTGACAGAATATGAAACTCATAGTTTATCCGACAACTCTGAAGATGAAAACAAATCATCAAAGCCGAAAACAAAGCTAAAATAACTTTGATAGTTCTGACAAAAGTACAACTTCAAATGATACGCATTTACAATTCGTCAAGCTTGATTACACAGTTAAACATACAGTTACAAAGGTTAACTCTAACAATTCACCGATAAATAGGTTACGCAACGCTTACGATTATTGGCAAAGTACAAATGAGGATGACTATATTCTTTGTATAATTAGAGAAGGTTACAAAATCCCGTTTTATACAGATCCTGAAGTCTGCATATTAAATTTTTTTAGAGTTTCAATTAAAGACCAAATTGAACTTGTCCATAGTCACTCCTAGATTTCAGATGTTGCATTCCAAGTAGTTGATTACTCAAGCTGCCAGAAGTCCTGCTCCATGTCCAGGCGCCAGAATAACCTTTTGTGTAGGCCCATTCAAACATGGATTCACTTGACATTCCAGCACCGTGTTCTTGATTGAATTCACCAATTACCATGGGCTTATTAAGTCGAAAGTTTGAAAATGATTGCTGGAAAGAGAAATTGACTTATCCGAATACCATTACCCCGAAGGGCCAGGCGAACCCTTTCTGTTCATAACAGAAATTTCTATTAAAAGGTGGCCTGCAGCTAAAGTGTACCTTTTTGTAAATATTTTTATCTGAGGGATTTTAAATAGATATAAGATGTGGTATGAGTGCCAATGAGACAACTCTCCATCCAAGTCACAATTTGTAAAAGTAAACCATAAATGTCGTCTTTAGAAGAAAATTCCTTGGAAAAGAAGAGATAACAAATGTACTAACAACCCAGTGAATTCATGCTATTGTATTCTTTTCTTAACATGTCGAGTTTGAAATAAGAAAGAAAAACACATACTTTTGCAAAAATATACGAAATTTCAATGGATATTCAATACTTACTTTGAAGGGAGATTCGTTTCCAAAATGCTGATGCCAGTCATAGCTGTGAACTTGATAAAAGGACAGAGTACCCTGGTGAGTAATAATGGTAACAATATAAAATTATCGAAACGGAATTTATTTCTTGAAGGCGATTATTATTTACAATGTTATTGAATATATTAAGAGTCGTATGTCAAATTATACGGAAAAAAGTTCAGTAACATTTCTTTTTATAAAAACATGACGTCTACGGTCAGAAATGTTAAAATGTTAAGTAGCGATGTAGAACCTACAGCTAGCAGTATAAGTAAGAGTTCGGACAGTTTAAGTTTAAAACAGTGAAAAGGTAAAATATGTTTAGAACTCGGTACAATAAGATATATATTACACTTTGCTTTCCTCCTGCTTTGACAAGACAGTGATCACTATACAAGTTATGAAATCCCATGGTATCAGTGTCAGCTTTCATGTTCCAGGATCCAACTGTAACCATTGCTCCTGGGTCAACTTCCTTGATAGCTGCTGCTTGCCAGTTCACAAATCTAAATTTTAAGCAAGTCTCATTGTACTTAATTTGTAATAATTTTTATGAATTCTCAACATTGATCCATATACATAAGATGTCCAATATTTTTCACAACGTACTCTATGAACTATTTTTTTTACCTAGATGGCTACAATCTATCAAAACCCATGTCATCATACATAGCTTACTCATCCAGTCGTTTATGTTTTTTCGTCCTCCTTCTAATATTTTGGCTTATATTTATCATCTAACACATATTTTTAACTAAATATGAAAACATATTGATTTATTCACCTGCCGATCTCTTGAGCAGTATACAGACGTCCAGCCCATCCTGCTCCAGATCCCGATAAATGTCTTGTGTCAAAACAAGGTTCTGAGCTGCTTTGTCCTGGTTTAATTTCACCCTCGGGTTCATTTATTATATCCCATCCACCCAGGCCCTTTTCATTTTTCAAAGCGTTAGCTATCGGTTTGAGGGCATGGTCTATGTATGACTGGAGTTTTCTTGTATCTACCATAAGTCCGTTAAGACGGTAATGAGATTTTGAGGTTACTGCAGCATTCCAAAGAGTAAAGAAAATTAGAATGTTATGTCTCTGGGCAGCCTGAAGATAAGCCCTCATGTCACTGATCAATGTATTGTCTATACCAGTTACGTAGCCATTGTTGTCAAATTGGGGCGTAGATTCTCCTTCAATATGCAGCCATACTCCTATTTATTTTAAAATATATTATTAAGAATGAATTTAAACTTTATTTAGATATCATTGTTGGTAATATGCATCATAATTTTAAAGGTTAAGAATATCAACTTATAACTTAGTTTAAAAGATCACTAAAATATTTGTTCTTTTTAGTAACCTATTAATCATCACCACCAACAACAGCACTCCTTGTTCCACTTACTGATGGAATTTCCACCATGACTCTGAATGTCACTTTGTGTCGATTCAAACGTTGGTATTCCTTTGCTGTAATGATTATGTCCAAAGTCGTGTGCATAATTTACCCAAGCCTGGTTAGCACCAGATAAAAATATCTGATGTCCATTGTAAGTTAGATTGGTGCCACTGACACTAAGTCTTGCCTGACATCCTAGTAAAATAAATGTAAAGTTGCATTATAATACATAGAAGGACAATAAAATCGAACAACACTAGTGGATAGGCAATAAACTTAAAACAACAGAGAGCACTAAAGGTTATGGCAATGTTCCTAAAGGATGAACATATCCTTCTTTGCATGCAAAAAACTCCCTCGCTAAAGGTTCATACTCAGTATATAAAAAGTAAAGGGAATGGAAAATATCTACTAGTAGTGATTAGGGGAATAGTTGAAGATGAATTAAATTCAAATAAATCAAATACTTAATTGAAGAAAAATCAAAAACTCTTTAAGGTAAACAAGAAATGCATCTGACTAATATAGATATTGTTGATTTGTCACATCAATCAATTTTACTTGCACAAATGTTTTGTTTTTCCCCAAATATGTTAGTAATTTCATTCATAAACCTGTTTTTGGCGATGTGAATTCATGATGGGAATACTATCAGTGATTAGTTTTCAAATTGTCTTATTTAAGTCTGCATGGATATATGATAGCTAGGATGTCTTTGTACCCTAAAACAGCTCTTGCGTAGCTAACCAACAAAGGTATATCTTCACTAGACGCATTATGTTTCGATATACAGAAACTTAAATTATCTCGTTTGTTACATATTTTCTGTTCTTCCTCCTATCCATCTTGAAGTCCAAAAAATACTGATTGTTTCCATTGCATTCTTTATGGTAGGACACTTAAATGAAGTAAAGATTAGTTGCAAACATCTAAAGAAAGAGAATTTCATGTTACTTTGGAGTGACTAAAGTTTAGGGAATAAGATTGGAAATTCGACTTTTTTTTGGACTAACGGTAGATGAAGTAGAAATTCGTTTATGTTGAATAGTTATTACCATGTATATTAGGGAAATTGATTTGACATATATGTTCAAAGAGGTCGAGGTTGTGGATAAGTATTTTTAATTGTCTATTCCTCACTTCTTATGAACCAATCATCGGAATGCTTAGTTTCTGCATATCAAAACATCTTAGTGTAAAAAGGTTGTTTTTGCAATTGATAAGCTTTATTTACGCGCTAAAACTATGTTTTATAAATAGTGTTTTTAAACAATCTGAGTCCGTACATAGTAAATAAAAATCTTGTATAAATATTTTTTTTTCTTTTTAAGATATATCTTTTGTCTGACTTTATTGGTAACTCTCACAATCACTAATGCATTTGCCATATAGTACCATGTTGTATATATAGAAAACAAGTATTTGTAATGTTTATTTATATAAATACTTATTCAAAATAATGAAAATTTGATAATAAACTGATAGAATTAATATTTATGAGTCATGCTCAAACACACAAATGTATTACTTTGTTAGATACATTTTTGGGTACAACATTGATGTACTTACAGTGTAGTCCCTACCTGCTGATGTAAGTAGTCCAACTAAAACACCCAACAGCATCCTGCCAATCTATGATAAAAAAGATACGAAAATAGGTAGGTATCACGTAAATTACAAAAAAAAAAAAACAACCCACATATCGATAAAATATTACAATGATTAATTCTTCACCCCTCATAAAAAAGGAAAAAAAAAGTGGTTACCACTGAATGTCTGTTATGCATCGACAGGGCCAAATAGACTGTCTTGGCATCCAATTCATTTTTCCTGTTTTCTTACTTCAATATTGTAAAGTACTTTTTCTTAAATTTGTTATCAACGAAAGGCGCAGATAGAAACTTTAATGTGTCTTATCAACAGTTTTAAAAACTATTACTTTCTTCCAAAGCAAAATAATTCAACTCTCCAACTCATACATATAAGAAAATAAAACCATATAAGCGACTTCATACTTAAAAAGTGAGTCCGAATATTATTTATACGTAATGGAATGAAATTGTCTACTTGACAACATTTATGTATGTTTCGGTAATAAAGTTTATCCACAGGTTTCGGGTATTCCTATGGGCACCAATTGTGCTCCTTTGTTAGCAGACTTGTTCTTATACTGTTATGAATCACAGTTTATGGCCAAACTCAGTAAAGAGTAAAATAACAAAAATACCGAACTCCAAAGAAAATTCAAAACGGAAAGTCCCTTATCAAATGACAAAATCAAATGCTCGAACACATCAAACGAATGTAAGACAACTGTCATATTCCTGACTTGGTACAGGCATTTCCTTATGTAGAAAATGGTGGTTTGAACCTGGTTTTATAGCTAGCTAAACCTCTCACTTAAATGACCGTCGCATAGAACCGTCTAAATTCCATTTAATGGATAAACTCAAAAACACTTACCGTTATCTTGATGATATTTTTTCGTTAAATAATCCAGAATTCTCTAAATATACTGCTGAAATTTACCCAAAGGAACTTACTTTAAATAAATAAAATATAAACTGCAATAACTGTCCTTTCCTAGAAAATTTCCGGAAGGTTTAGATACGATCCGGGGAAACTTATCAATCCTTTAAATAAACTTATTCTAAAAGGTACCAATTCAACACTGGAATTAAAATCTTTGAATATTGTTTTTATTGGTTTAAATATTGATTTTGTTATCAGTAAATTAAAACCATACTAAATATTATTGTTATACACATATAAACTTTCACGGTACTACAATCTTTCGATTACTTTATTTTGGCATTGCACAAGGTCATGTTTTTCTCTGATTGTTAATGAAGTCCTTAGCCTAAATCAATTGGATGTTGGATATGTGCTGATTGATATTTTAGTCTTAGATACATGTTTTTTTTTTATTAGTTGTTTGTGACTTTGAACTAGCTATCAGTAACTGCGAGTACTCTCAGATCTGTACTTAAGTGTCTTTTTTGTTGTTAGAGATGAGGGATGGACAAATACCTTGCCACGTCTGGTCTGTGTTTTTGTTTTGTTTTTCTGCTTTGTATCGATCTGATGAGTTAAGCCTTTTTCAACTGATTTGTATAGTTTTTTTAATGTTGTGCTGTTACACCACTGTCCCAGGTTAGGAGAGGGTTTAGCGCTCACAAACATGTTTAACCCCGCCACATTTAGGAGCCTGTACTTCAGTGGTTGTCGTTGGTTCATGTCTGTCATATATGTTTTTCGTAAATTGTTTTGTTATAAATTTGTTTTCTCAATTGAATTGTTTCACATTTTTTATGTCGAGCCTTTTATAGCCGACTATACAGTATGGGTTTTTCTCATTCACACTTATTTGAAATCTTTATTATGGCGCTGCTGTAATAATGGTACATGTAAATGGAAAGTTAACAATTTGGAAGCTGAAATGATCGATGTTTGTCGTAAAGTTTATAATAGTATCTTTACATAAATATATACCATATAGCGGGTTATTTTCGCTTATTTTCGCGGATTTATTTTTGCATACGTTCGGTACTTTCTAAAACGAAAGAATTTTGTGAACAATCTATTTTTTCGGTCGGCAGGTCAATAATCTAAATAAACAACATAAATGCAAAAGGGCATTGTACATGCATATATTTTATAAAATATGTATACCCTTATTAATTATAATTAGTGTCGAATAATATAAGAGTGTAAGGTACTCTGTCAGGTATTTTACCTAATTTTAACCTAATTAGAACATCAAAGGTCCGGTCAATTTCGTAACTAATCAGCCGTGACATTTACAAGAAGTTTGTACACCTGTGACTAATATCTAAGTTACGGGTATTCTCTTGATTAACTGTATCAGAATATAATCAATAAATAAGACATCAATAAGATATTGTCCGTAGTGGATTCCGAGAAACAGGTATTAATGGCGGCTTGGATGATTATCTTGTTTCACTGGCAATTTTACAACTTGTTAACTGCAAGCATTTCAGTATCCGCCAAAATAATTATCTGGGAATTGGGAAATACGCCAAAATAAAAACCGCCAAAATGTTTTGAATACTTTGTTGCCTCTTAATCGCGAAATTTTAAACCAGCGACAAAAACCTGCTATACGGTATGCTGATTTGCATTCTTGATCAATATCACAAACACCAAACTTTGAAAAGCGTCAGGAACTTACGAGGCATCCTACACCACCTGATAATCCTGACGCAAAAAGAAACAAATCTGACATTGTTTCTGAATCTGTCCCTGATTCTCTAGGCATGGATCTAATTCATCATCCTGATTCTACAGATACGTCCAAACAACATGCACTTAATCCGATATCTTTGTCCGACTCAGTTATAGACAAAATCTCAGAAGACGTTTAATTAAAGTTATACCAAAAAAAGTAAAATAGATGATAAACAACATCAGTACCTAGAATCTATACTTCAAGACCATTATTAATTATTTGTGAAGTTGATACGGAATATTTATCAACAAGGTCTTGGTATCTTCCAATGAACTTTTTGAGAAAAAGGACGAGACGTTCTTTGACATAACCCTGGTTCATCAACTTTCTGCTCAGACACTGGTGACGTTTTACAAAGTCTGAGTAGCAGTTCCAAGCTCTTGAATACCGAGTGAGTTGGGAAATGTATATCCCATATGCAGTTGAAATTGGTATATTGCTGCATAGGTGAGGGAAATTTATAATTTCAAAAGTTTGACAAAGTTTCTGATACCGAGATGACCTCTTTTGTCAAGTTCGAGGTACAAGTCTAAAAATGAGGCGGAGGCAGCCGTGTCTGTTGTTTCTTTCATTTCTAGTTCTGGAGGATATATTAATGGAACCCAATCCGAAAAGTTTGGATTGTTAATGGAAAGAACATCGTCAATATATCTGAATGTGAAATTAAATGATCCGGCTTCTTTGATCTTATTGTTTTTGACAAGTGTCTGAAGGAACTCCGACTATATGAAAATAAGAAGAGGTCGGCAAGGAGAGTACACAGTTCGTTCCCATACGAATGCCGACAATTTGTTGAAAAAGTCTACCCCCAAATTCAACAACTATGTTGTCAATAAGAAACTCCAGCATACTTGTTCCTGGGTGTAGCATGTTTTACCTTTTTTGTTCACTATTAACAAAATATGCGGTATGGTATCCCAAAGCAATAAATTTACAGCGTATGCTACCATTTTAATATTGAAAAGCATTGTGGATTATTTCTTTCAGACGATTTTTTAATTTCACATGGGGAATGCAGGTATAAAGGGTCGAAACCTCATAGGTTTTGATAGAATTCATTTCAGAGAAAGATCGAGATTTAAAATTACCCAGAAGTTCTTTTGAGTTTTTTAGAATCCACATATGGTTAATACCACTACTCGAGTAAACAGTTTAACAGTATTTTTGAAGACCTTCTTTCACTGCGGACAGAATTTTTGTCAATCTAATCGACAATTCCTTTGTAGAACATGCAGATGAATCAGCAATGTACCGTTGTTTGTATGGAATTTTGTGAAACTTAGGTACCCAATACAAACTAGGTAAGTCCTCAGATTTGCTGTTCAATGTAATATTCATTAGTCCTTGAAGGACTTATGATTCGTAAAAATCTCATCCTTGTCAAATGCTATGTTTTTTGTATGTGCTCATTTATTCCTAATTCTTTTACAAAACAGTCGTAGTAGTACGATTTACATAAAAAAAAAACAATTGAAGCTTTGTCTGCAGGAACAACAATATATTTATCGTGAAGAAATGATATACATTTCACAGCTTCTTTGTCTCTGAATACAGACTTTGGTTGATCATTCACACAGTTTTTCAACTTTTGGATTCGACGTTTGTCAGTGACCTGATCGCTTTAACCC